CAGGTATTGGTTTCAAAACAAATATAAGTAATTGAAATAACTTTGCCGACTGACAATACTGCAGCATAGGGTTCCATATAATTTCCTCCAATAATTTATTATACGTACACACCGATAAATAAGATAACTGTAAATAACCGATGAATACCCTTCTGAAGGTATACGGTTTGTCAATCGATTTCATTATTTGCCTATCAACAGAAAATTTCATTTAATACAAAATTTGTATATTGCATATAGAGAAAGTATGAACTCCAAAGAGTTTATACTTTCTTTTTCAAAAATATAGAAAGCAAATTGAATTGAATGAAATTTTTCAACATATATTTACTAAAATTGTAATTATGAAATTCTATTAAAAAATCTGTGAAAAATTACATTACTTTCTACATTTTAAAAAAGAATTACATAGTCAATTTTCAGGCAAAGATTCTCGCGCTTGTATTTGATTTTTTCAGCAATTAATTCGAGTTTTGCTAACTTTATAAAGATGCGATTTTTTTGCAAAATTGTGAAATATTATCGCACTAATCTTTTGCATGATGCGTTCATCTTATCGATCCCATTTTTGTCTGCAAACAACCATCACTAAAAATAAAGCGTCTTTCTTAATCGTTGATTTCATGGAGAGCATAGTACGGTATTCCTCTATGCTCTTCGCCACGGGCGGATTTACATGATCGGCAGCCTCATGTTTATTCATGTAACCTCGTATGGTCAAATTAATACACGCCGTTGCGATAATTACCGATGCTGGACACATATTCGCCTTGGCGTTTATCGCATGGTCACGCGTTGTCGCATTATTTATCGAGATTCATAATAATTTTATATTGTACTGTAGTTAATACATCTATTGACAAAGAAATTCACGTTTTATATCTATAAGTTAGAATTAATCAATTTATTATAATGCAATTTATAAGTTATAATATAACTTTTTAATTTTTTTTTGCGATTCTCTAAATTTCTGTGTCATGTCCTGTTAAACATGAGAGTTTCCGATCATAGATGGATCCCGCGTATGCGTTACTCCCTTCTCCACGTAGCTTTCCGAACAAAATTTCAACGCCGAGATAAATTTGGAACAACCGCTTCGTGGATGTAACTCAACTACGCTCTATGTTTCTGCTTTAGTTTCGTGTCAAGAATGTGCGAGAATCACACGCGTGTCCTCATGATGAAAATTGTGCTCGGGTATTTACGACTGAACGTGGAGTTTATCCTGTGTTAAAAGAGAGATTATTCGAAATTTTTAAGAATTATCCAAAGATTCGAAAAACAATCGAAATAGTTTTATCTTTCGGCTGTATGGTTATGATTAATTATAGTTATCAGCAGCCTTCTGATGTAACTTTAAATATTTTAAGTAATCAATTGTATGTTTGATGACATATTTTATAATTACACTAGAATATATATGTTAGTGATATCTTTCTTGAATTTTTAATTTATGTGATTATTGATTATTTCATTACTCTCATATTTCACAGTTAATTTATAAATTAATATTATTTCTTTAAGCATTGATAATAATTTATCGAATGATTAAAATAATCAAGAGCTCTATTTAATATAAATATTAAATCGCGTTAATTTATTTTAATGCGAATAATTTTATAATGGATGATA